AATAGTAGACATGGCCCTGAAAAGGATGGGTCTTATGACGGACACTATCTCACAAGTCTTGTTAATGAGCTCTATCACTTGTTATTCTGAACCCATGCGCTGTGTGGCTTGTGCGGCGATGTCCACTTCCCGCCTTGGAAACGTAAAGACCGGTTGTGTTCGTTTCCCAGGAAGCTTGCATCTTATACCTACAGAATAACAAGTGATAGAGCTCATTAACAAGACTTGTGAGATAGTGTCCGTCATAAGACCCATCCTTTTCAGGGCCATGTCTACTATTCGGAGAAAGAGAGAAAGGCCAAATTAAGTCACGTTTCTTCGCTTGCGCTGTGCATAGGTTAGTGTTATTTTCGGTCGCAAAAATATGTTTTTTTTTCCATTCACACTGTTCATTATGAAGTTGCACTATCTCAAGTTCATGATTATCTCAAATTCCTAGATCAATTCGTACTGGGTTGGGTAATCAGGCAACTCCTTAGGTGATGCTTTTTGATATAGTATAAACTGACAGAATCATGGTAGTGTTTGCCTACCAGTGTCGTGCAAAAGAGGTTTTGATAGGTACTGACAGGAATACCAATGTAGTTTTCTGGGATTGTCTGCATGCATAAGTGGATTTCCCCGACCCGTTTGTCCTAGCTATTATTTGGGCTGGAAACAAAGCTTCTTTGAGGTTACAATTTTGAAAGAACGTTACCGAGATTCTACCTGTTACCGAGAATTACTGAAATTTCCTCACTGGTTGGATCGTGCACTTTGCCGACAACCTACTGAATAGAACAAGGTCACTGACATCTTTGTTGTAGGTCAGATACTTCTGCGTGTCCCTTCAAGGCGATAGTGGATGACGATTTCAACATTGTCAGGGAAGAAGCAGGACCGAGCAACTGTAGGAACGATGAGACTACCAAATGCAAATCTGAAGGCGTTCGCTATGGGTGCATTCCTAAGAAGTGCGTATTTCATTTATTTTTTCTCTAACTCTGTATTCTGGAAAAGATAGGTGGTAAGATCCAACTCGTATACCTCATTTCTCTATTTCCACCTTCCTCTCGCCCAACTTCCCCTTTTTTCTTTCAAATTATCCCCTATTTTCTTTTAAATTACGATTGAATCGAAATCTGAGAATTGTAACCATTTTTCGCACGTTATCACAATGTGAAATATTGGTGATGGGAAGGCATGTCACAGTTTAAAGGGATTGGGAGGCGTGTCAAAAGTCCGTAGATCCAAGATCTACGTACAACTACAACTCAATTTCTTTGAACGCGTCGAACTAGTGTTTTTCTCTACTGTCTCTCATCCGTGCGGCACTATATGGTCATTGTGGCCTAGCACATCCCAACTATGATAAGTGGCTGACCCACTGCAAGGTCCCCTCTCCTTGAGGAAGATCGTTTCCTGGCTCGCCATAGTTTCTTGCACGTCTCGATGCTTTGGCAGGCGCTGTCCTGTACTGTCTGCGTTTCTTGGTTTCGCAACAGGACCATGGACAAAAGTTCAGATGTCACGTTACAGTAGCTCCAGAGCCCATTTACAGACCAAAGGGATTTTGGCCATCTGGACTGTACTATGTTGCTCACTTCACTAGAACT